CTGAGTGCCCCTGTAGTTGGTCCTGATGTCCCTCAATTGAAACGTCCCCGAATGAAGCCAATCACTAAGCCCAGGTATCCCCAGCCACGGACCCCCGACCCCTCCGTCATCCTCCCTGAAGCACCAAACCACCCCAGAGCCTGGGCCTATCGACCCCATAGCTTTCGCGGGTGCGGAAAAAAACACATCTCGCCCCCAGCGGTTTTTTGGTTTGCAACCCCCATGAACATCCAGCCCGTCGGCGCACAATCCCTGGATTCGGATCGTTTGCGCTAACCTAGTCTTCCCCATAGGGGAGCGTGGACCCATTTTCATGATGATTTATGTCAAGCCTGTTCAACAAGCATAAGCATCCCAACACTGTCAACCAACCGCCCATAACGGCATTAAACGAACCCTGCCGTCAAGCAAAGGTAGTGAGGTCTGGGTCAAATTTTGGAAATGGATCCTAATATACAAGTATTGCCCCCTTGTAAAGTAGCAGCTAAGCTTCCTGGAATCCGATCCTAATAATCATACCAAACAAACAAGTTATGTGTTTTTTCGGACGTAGTACTGAAAAGCTTCCGGGGACCTCGTTTCAACACAAAACCAATTCAATTGCAGTATTGCCCCTTCTGGATTCCGGTTTATGCCAACTCTTCTGGAGGCCAAACTGAACACTTCAACCACCTTAACTCTTTTCTAAACAACTCCATCAGTTGCTTTATTTAGTTGCAATTGGGGGCCTTTGCTAAGATAGTCGCTTTCCAACCGACCACAAATAACTCACAGATCGTGCTACATGAACGAAACTCTACATAGAAATGATTGACTTCTAGGAACTCCCCTCATCTATTTGTGCGGGGTAGAAATGGACACTTCTCAATGTACACCCGCGTACTTGACTCCTTCGTTTGGGCCCACCTCCGTGTGGCCGTATGTCTCGAAGAACCAGTCGAAGTACTCCAAGTAGGACCATGCAACAAGCCTCAAACATCGCCCAAAGGTGTTGGTCCTGGTCCGATTTTGTTTTTGCCTGGTGCTTCCAGGAAATGAATGTCGAACCAGCGGAAAAAAGCAAATCCTGGTTTCTTACGAGGTTGCTGTTGGGCCCTCTGCAACTGAATTTTAACGTTTTGTGGGTCCAATGGAACATCAACAAAGTTTCCCAAAAAGTTGAAGTCCAAATATCCAACCAAATAGCCACAATGTGTCCCATCTGGAGGCACAGGGTTTGGCTGCCTTGCCAAGGGCGATTTGGATATGAACTCGTCCGTGGGACACTGCAAAGGACTATCTGACCAAAGGATTGAGGATTTACCCTCCAACAATCATAGCAAACAGAGGTTTGGAAGGCCGCTTTCCTTTTGGGTCCCGAAGCCTGCCCACTTCCTTTGTTGCAAAGAGGGTATTCGTTACCAAACACCCCGGATACATGGTAAAATATAGCAAGCATTCGGAGCTGCGTTCGCGCTATGAGAAACCCGGCGACTGGGATTTGGCTTTTGGGGGTTGAAGTACGGTCCAACTGGAGGCTACCTCAAGGGCAGCTTTTGGGGTGAACACAGGGAGATCCTTTCCAAAAACAGGGAAACCACGTACTGGAAGTCTAGGGACGGGCTATGAGTGCGGTTTTGTGAGCCCAGTACTGGAAAGACAGCCGACCCTTGTGCAGAAAATAGGCCGAGTATTGCTAAGCAGTCACACGAGAGGCGTGCCAGAAAAATTCAGAAATCAAACAAAGGTACGACCGTGTCAAACAGAGGGCCTACATCTATCTGCATTCCAAAACTGAATTAAGGGATGCCCAAGTAAACAACCTTTATCATGGTGAGCTCGCGATAGCCCCGATTCGGTGAGCTCGCCATAAAATAGGCAGATCTAGGAACATATTTTGCACAACCACCGGCCCACCGGCCATGGCACGATAAACGCGCCGCCTCTCACCGCCTACCGATGATTTGATGCCGAGGCACATAATGACGGAGACCTGCAGGGACTCCGGATAATGCATGCCCTGGTGTATTCATAGGGTGGTGTCCCTGGGGAACACCCCCGTATTAATAAACTGGGGTTAACAAAAGTGCTTTTCTTACATGGGGATTGATTGCCAAAGGAAGCGTTGTCAGATTCATGCCCGAACCTGAAGAGAAAAAGGGAAAGCCATACAAACAAGTTGTTTTGTTCCTTTAACAACATGCTATGGCTGCTGGTCTGAGGGTAGCCATAAGGGGAACAAATCACTCGGCACCTCAGCCCTGGCAGGTCATAGTCCAGAGAGGAAGCGCAAGGTGGCACATTCAATAACACATACATATTCTCCCAGCGCACATCGCAGGCACAAAACCTCGCAAACTTTCAATGAGGCTCAAGTTGTGGTGTGTCAAAGCTTAGAGCTCACCTGAGTCATAATCAAAACACAGTATTAAAATGGTCGACCCAGAACCATGCAAAGAATTCAGAAGGCGGCCGCAGCTATTTATGGTTGGGATTGTTCTTTGCTTCACTTACCCGGATTTTGATCTCACCTCAAGGATCACCAAAGCGGATGTGTCTCCAAAGATCCGTGGGACGTTGCACCTAGTCAACCGATTAGGTTCACCATCCGCACATGCTTCGAAGTCTACCAAACTTGCAACCTCAAGCTGCCAACTACCCAGCGGGAGGACTCCCGGAGAAACTCCTCCCACAAACCTTCAGAACTCAACCCGTTTCGTTCACTGCGGCCAAAACACGGAGCAACACATGCTTAACTTCTTCATCAAGCAGTGAGTGTATTATAAAGAAATACGCAACGGCTATGTCCAAAATATGGCATGATTGACAAACGTATCTCTGTCTCTCCCTCTCAATCGCTCTCAATGGGAACTGCTGCATACTCACACATCCGGCGATCCATTGCCCTTGGTGTTGGGACATGTCAAAACCTCTTCCGACCTCGTCTCTCAACGCGCCTTGACAAGGTGAATGATGCTGTGATTGTGGCAAAAGGTGTGGACGCGAGGCAGCAAAACGCAGCCTGGAAGAGGACAATGCAAGCCCTGTCTTTATTAGATACAGCTTGGTTCCTGATATGTTGCAAGGGGCCTGTCGCCATTCTCGCAAGGATTCCCCCAAAAATGGACATTGTGTTGTCATTGTCAATCCTCCATGTGCAATGGCCGTGTGTCTCCGATCAAAGGACATTCTGTCTGAAAAGCCAAGTTGGTACTCAGTATGCTGCATGGATGTCTGCCACTATGGAATAAATCAGCTAAAGGGTACTCTTGTTTAATGGCTTGCGGCATTGCTCATACGCAAGCAAGCACCAACGCTCGCAAGCAAGCTAGCAACCGAGTGAGCAAACAACCAAGCAAGCAAGCAACCAAGCAACCAGCCAAGCAACAAATCAAGCAAGCAAGCGAGCAACAATCAAGCAAGCAAGCAAGCAAGCAAGCAAGCAACCAAGAAAGATAGAAAGCAAACCACCAAGCAACAAATCAAGCAAGCAAGCGAGCAAACAATCAAGCAAGCAAGCAAGCAAGCAACCAAGAAAGTTAGAAAGCAAACAACCAAGCTAACACAAAAAGCTAGCAAGCAAAATAGCAAGCAATCAAGCACACAAGCAAGCCACAAAGAACTAAAACAATCAAGCAAGCAAGCAACGAACCAAGCAAGCCAGCAAGCCAGCAAGCAAGCCAGCAAGCCAGCCAGCAAGTTCAACAAGCAAACACACATACACACACCTGCACAAACAAGCAAGCAAGTAAGTTCAACAAACATACACACAAGCAAACAACACAAACAAACACACAAGCAAGTACAGCAAGCGAGCGAGCCAGCAAGCAAGGAAGCAAGCCCACAGGCAAACAGACAGGCAGACAAACAGGCAGACAAACAGACAACCAACCAACCAATCAATCAACCAACGAAAATAGGGAGGAAAAAAAACAACAGAAAAAAAACACACACACACACAAACAAACGATCAAACAAACAAACAAACAATGGCACCGTCATTTGCACAACGAAACAACTACGAGTAGAGGCACAAAGGTCAGGTGCAAACACAGTAAATTGAAATGCGCGAAGCTCTCTTCATGGGCAAGGACACCACCTCGAAATAAACACATGTCAAACGGACCCAGATATCTCAGATTAAACATCTGCCATGCATTGGGAGCCCGTCCGGGCAAACCAACATGGTTCATATTGCCCCGTGCCAAGCCGATCTTGTTCAAGATCCGGCGTCCCTTAATCGAACCCTTTACACAAAAGGGAGATAAACAACCATCTGCAGCTCACTGCCTGAGTGGTCAAAAGAAAGTCTCAACCATTTGTGCTGCTGAAATGAACTGTTTTACTGCATCAAACCTTGCTCACATCATGCTAAGCTGCTAACTGAACTTTTGTTTACTGTCTTAAAGTCTGAGTGGACTTGTCCAAAAAGTTTCAAGTCCATGAACCACTCCCCTTCGATCCACGACAGCCACCCCTTTCGATCGCTCCGCGCCTATCACCACCCAGCTGACGAGCCAAGCAGCCAGTTCCACGCCGACGTGCGGCACTTCTGAGCAAGGATTCGGCATGTGATCATATTTTATCCAAGCAGATGGGTTCATGTTCTTCTCTTTTCTGAAGGGTTTTGGCTTCGGCATTGGAAGACAGATATGAGGTGGCCTGATCACTTGTCAGACCCCCGCAGCTTAGCATGATGTGAGCAGCATGATGTGAGCAAGATTTGATGCCATAGACGTTTATTCCAGCCCAGCCGCCATGGGTGCATGGTGCTTCCCACTTGAGACATAGCCAATGGCAACCCACAGGGTCAGCAACAAGATTCAGGGGCGGGCATCGATGCCTTGAAGTGTGAGAAAGCCTCCAACCAGCCATAGCACTTGTTTTATGTCAAAGCACTCGCAATCATGCTGCGGTGAGAACAATACCTCGCATAGCTGTGCTACATCTCCTCACACCTGTAAGCAACGACCACCTGCCATGTCCCTGGACTGATTTGGCTTCTTTGGCTTGAGCTTCTATCCTGCTTCTAGAACGCACTGACTTTTTTCCAGGGCTTTGCGCCCAAACACACGAGTGTTGGCTCCCTTTGCGAGCGATTGCCCAACTTCCTCTTCGAACAAACGCAGCTAGGTCCTCCAGTAGAGAGGATAGAATAAGGCTACCAACTTTTTCTCTAGTCTATTTTAGTAGGGGAACCCTCCCAACCCAAAAAGAAAGGGTGAGAAAGGGCACCTATTACTGGGGGACCTAGTTGCAGCTTGCACAGGCGCGACGCCCAGGTTCCGGGCCGGCCAGATGCTCCTTGGCTTGGTGCTCCTCCAAAGGCGGGAAGACGCCTCGCGCGTTCGGCCCGGCAACGAGTGATAGGGGTGGTCACTATGCCAAGCAAAAAACGCATGGCCAACTCGTCCCCCATCAACACGAGGCTCTGCTCTTTTTTTCTTCCGGAGGCGAACAGCAACTTCTTTTTTTTTTCTCGGAGGCGAACAGCAACCGTTTCCGCACGAACTGCTAACTGTTTCTCCTCAAAAATGCACCTTGATTGAAGTTGACCCCTAGCGACGGCTCCGAGCTTGGCTGTGAAACCGTATTGGAAGGATCAATATTTGAGCGTGCTCTTGTGGCTACCTTTTTTCAGGTTGGTTTGTTCAAAGAAACCACAATGAAAGCCATCATTTCTAGGGTGCCCCTTTTACCCTTACCCCTTGGGCCCCGGCCTTGCAACCGCCCCAACGCTCACTCGACCGGCCCCTGCCTGCAACGAGGTGCCGAAAGGCTTGAGTTACACAGTAGGTCAGCACCTCAGCTTGTGACGAGCCCCTCTCCCGGTCGCTTGGAAAGCATGGGGTGGATGACGAGTCAAAACGGACATACACTCCCAGACCTTCCGCGGGCACGCTGTGGGCGGTTTTTCCGGATCAAGCAATCAAACTCGCACGTCAGACGTAAATGCGCGCATGTCATGCAAACGTGCTTAATGGGAACACGGTGCTGGTGTGTGTGTGTGTGTGTGTGTGGGTGCGTGCGTGGCTGCGTGCGTGCGTGCGTGCGTGCGTGCGTGTCCACAAATGTCACGTTCCGACAGTTTCCGCCCATTGTCCGGGACAAACCAGCCAAATAATTGCCTTTGTTTGCTCAAAATCCGAACTGAGCAAAAATATCCTTAGACCCAAAAGCTGCTCAAATTAAAGGTCGAGGTTTTGGTGCCTTGGCACATAAGTCGACCGTAAGTTGGCACGAAACAATGAGGCACGACACGATGCCCTGAGCACGAACCAAGCGGCTCATGGCTTGCATGATAAAATCGTGGTGCCGCAAAGTTCAGATACCTGGTGATACCCAAAGAACACGTGCTTGGCAGCCTATAATCAATGCCTCTCTCTTTAGGTTGACAAAACGTGTGGATGCTGCTAAAGAGATCGGATTGAACAATCTCCAGCATAAATTAAAAAAATAAATGATCAGGGCAAGCTGGTCGACAGAGTTGGTTCGAGCAAATGGCTGTGCCCAACACGGATATGTAAGAAAGCTGGTCACGAATGAATAGAATCAGCAATGAGTGCGCACCCTCATATGACCTTACTCATGAGAACGTGTTGACCCCAGGTGGGCTCGTTCCTGTTTGTCCAGACCCTTTCAGCCCTAACTATCAGCAATGACGGAACTCAGTTTCGCATCAAGTTCCTGAACAATCCGTTCTGATACATGGCATCAGCAAAGGTGAGACAGCCTGTAACCCTATGTTTCGGTGACAAAAGGAGCACGCATATTGGTGCATTTGCTTAACATGCCTTGAGCTTGCCCAAGATCGTTCCCGGACAAATGTTGAGCTGATTGAGCTGGTGCAAGCATGACTTCCCAAGATAGCCAACACAACAAACAGAAACTGACATGGGCGTGTCGCTTTTCTGGAGTGGGCACCCCCTTTTTGTCTGGCTGTTTATGGGAAAACACAAGAAGGACAACCGGACACCCGAAGCAAATTGAAAGCTCACCTACGGCTTGGTGCCGATGCCCCAAGAAATTCGACAAGCGGCGAGGCCAATGATGTCAAGCTCCATTTCTTGTAGCACCTGGCCGAGTCGGCTGAGCCCTTGGAGCTTGGGGGAAATCGGTTTCTTTGTTCAAGAGGAACGAAAACCAACTTGTTGACTGGTGACACGAGTGAAACCAGAAGAATTTCCGGGGAATTTCTCTTTTGCCATTTAGGCATAAGCATTTGGGAAATTCACCTAAGGGGACTTCTCGTTCAGGGCCTGGGCCGGATGACCTGGAAGCAGGGCCGCTAGAGCCACCACTGACCTTCACATACCTTCTTTCTCAGGTCGCGTTTTTTTTCTTTTTTTTGTTAAATAAAAAATAAAATAAAGTGTTTTCTGTTTTTTTTGTTTTTTTTTTTTCCGGCAAGGACGCCTTAAGCACCCGCCGTCCGAAACCAAGTCCAAGCTTTTTTATCCAGGGGGTGTGACGCCCAAACCACGAGCTTCGGCTGTTCCTCATAAAACCAAAGCTCTTTTT